TAGGCTGTCCACCGGGGGGGGGGTGGCCACGGAAATACGGGTGGGGATATGAGGGCCATACCCCAAGGAAGATGCAAGCAGGGGACCCTGGGCTGCTGCCCACACTCACCTGTGCTACGTCAAGCAGGAAGAGCTGCAGGTAAAAGGCCGAGGCGCTGGAGGCCACCTGGTTGGGGACCCCCCCAATGCCATAGCATAGCTTCGTACAGAAAGAGAGGCGACCGGCTCTGCTGTCCTGGAGGAAACACTGGAACTAAGCCGCTAGCCCCACAGACACAGAACCACTCCCCACACCCATGACTTCCATAAGCATCCAGGTCCCTATCTTGTGGGCATTTCTAGCCACCTCTCAGCCCCATTTTGCCCCCAAACCATCCCAAGAGGAAGCGAGACAGGAGAAAAAAAAAGATCCCAAGCTATGACCTCTAAACATTTCCAGGAGGAAGTTCTTCCTCCCTTCCTTCCCCGTGCTGCCTGCCACAGGCCACTTGAATCTACTGAGTCAGCTGGGCAGAACCTACTGCTGGTCAGGAGACCCCGTTTTGAGCTCTCTCTTTGCCATCTACTCCCTGTGTGACCTCAACAAAGCACTTCATCTCCCTAAGCCTGTGCTCCTCATCTGTCAAGTGCCGTGTCCTGCCAGCCGCACAAGGTTGTTCTGCTGAATAAACGAGGCGGGGGTTCCAGAGCTGACTGTTGGGTGTTCAGGACCTTTGCCGGCCGTTGCTGACCCGCAGCCTGAAGTCAGCTGTGGTGAGAGAATCTGTCCCACAGAAGTCAGCAAACAGCATGGACCGGAGCTCCCCCACCCCCCGAGACCGTTGGCCAGCCCCCACTGAAACAAAGTGATGCTCATGAGCCCGGATGTATACATGTCACAAGCCCTGGTCGTCCAGCACACTCCGGGCTGGAATATTCCAGGGCCTGCTCTGAGGGCGCCTGACAGCTTAGCATGGTCAAACACAGCTCGATTTCCACTCCATTGTCTAAACCAGTTCCCAGGCCCGTTGTCCCCCTGGCATCAATGGTCTCTGGGCTCCCTCCGTGGCTCAGGCCACAGGCCCAGGGGTCAGCCTTGACTCCCCCTTTCCAGACTCTATCAGTGAGCACCCCCCACGTGGCTTCTCTGCTTCTGCTCTCGCCTCTACGATCCACTCTCACCCAGCAGCCAGTGGGCTTGTAATAACGTAAATCAGACCCTGTCTCCACTCTGCTTAAAACTCCAACAGCTTGCCGTTATGGTCTGAGTAAAACGCAAAGTCCTCACTATAACTAAAGGGCCCAGCCCTCCCCACCCAACCCACATCACCTCAAATGATCCTAAAAATGCCCAAGCCTGTTGCTGCCTCAGGACCTTGGCACTTCCGGTTCCTTCTGCCGAAAAGGCTCTTCTGTGTCTTGGAAGAGCTGACTCCTTGTCACTTGTTTGAACTTAAATGTCAGTTCCTCAGAGAGGCATTCCCTGACCACCCAAGTCTTTCTCTCAGTTGTACTTACTGCCTGGTATATTCTCATTTACTCTCTGACTCTCCTCACCCGAATGTAAGCTCTCTGAGAGCATGAACTATAACTTTTCTTTAACCATGGTTTCTTCAGGACCTAGAACAATGCTTGGTATCTAGTAGGTGCCCAGTATATATCTGTTGAGGCAATAAATGGTCATGGAAATGCTGTGAGAGTCGTTTCTTCTCTCTCGTCCTTCGCTTGGAGGAAGTCTTCACCCGTTTCCGTATCTTGCGGGACACAACGAAAGCAAGCTGTTTTGAAGGGAAGGCCTTCCAGATAAACGTTTATCGCGCTTTGCACACTCTACCTACCCACAGTACAAAACCACATTCGAGACAGGATGCGTTCTCCTTTTCTGACATTTGTATGAACATTATTTCCACTTCCAGAAAACTTTAAACAGGCCAAATCCAGCATGACAGACCTCCCCTCACCATGACGGGACCCTTGTTTCCCCCTAAATGGGCCTACCAAGTCTTAGACGGCGCTTGAAAGAAACTCCAGGTCAAACTAGACGTACAGGACAGTTATGGGGTCTTGGGTCACAGTTATGATGGTTTTCCCTGTTTAAGTCATAAGCTCTTCAGAGTTTTACAATGAGACAGACTCGTATTCAAACTCTGTGTCTGCCCTTTCTAGCCGTGTGACCTAGGGCCAGGTCCTCAGCCTGTCTGAGCTTCCGTGTCCCCCCATGTAAGATCATGCACCTTGCAGGGTTGTGAGAATTAACGGCTGGCTCTTCACGGCAATGTTAGTCTTCCCTCTCGCCCTGCATTTCTGAATTTCCCTGGGAAATGAGAGAGCCCAGTGCTTATCTGTCTATCGCAACTTCTTTCTTGGGGGAGGCAAATTCCTTGCTCTGAGGTGCCTGACAGGAGGCTCCAGGCAAGATGGGGGGATTGAGGCGGTGGTCAGGGGAGGCCACAGAAGTCTCATTCCGGCTGGCCCCAGCAGCCAGGACAGAGGCTCCCACCCCCGGTGCAGCACGGCCTCCCCGCCCAGCGCGAGACCCAGC